TTTAATATTTTAATAATAATTAAAATTTATATTATTATATTATTATATTATAATTTTCGCCATCCATCTCAAATTGTACTTGTTTAATAAAAAAATAAAATCTAGATTGCTCTTTCAATGACATGGCCATTTTTATCTTTATTTCTTTTAGCAATAACCGATTCAATTTGGGAATCCCCGGCTAGGTGGAAACCATTACCAGGATTTTTTTAATATTTTTAATATTAAATAATAAATCATATAATAAAAAGATAACTTTAAAAAAAATTCCTTTTCATTTATTTCAAGATTTAAATTTACCCTATATTATGAGTTCTAAGTATGTTTTATTGTTTTTCTCTTTGTACATTTTTATTATTCTCCTAAAGAAAAATGCTATTTTATCATTATAATATTAAAATTAAAATTAAAAATTCAAATTTATATAATGCCCAATAGTTTATTTTTTTAATGCATCAAAAATAAAACTTTTTTTTTTTTTTTTGAAGTAACCAGGACTTATAAGACTGTTGGCAGCGAAACTGATAAGACGTTAGACAAACTCATGGACTCACATTTGAATTCTTGAAATTAACATTATTTCCATTAACATTTAACCAATCCATAGGAATAACTTCGAGGAAGCGCATGTGCTTTTCGGGTTCGCCTAGATGATGAGTCTCATCCTTCGCTAAACTAAATCACCAGTTAGAACGGTGACAAAACGGCATCTCTTATGCGGTCGAAAAAACAAAGATACAAAGGCATCTTTTATGTGGCCCGAAAGGCTTCTTTGTTCACATGGAACCATGACTAAGTGCACGGACACAGCGGCGGAGCCACGCTGAGACTGCTGGCCTTTTGAAAAAAATTTCAAATTAGGTTTTCAAATTTATAATTTGAATATTGTTTTTTTAAATTTTATTTTTACTCACATAATTATTCTTTTATTACTCTTTTGGTTAATTTTGTCATTAAATGTAAAATAAAATGCTATTATAATAATTTTTTTGATACATATATTGACATAATAATTAACAACTATTTAAGGCTAATATATATTATAAAAAAGATGTTTTAATATCTAATATTTTTGTCAAAAAAATTAGTAAGAAAATCTTTTAACTTTTAACATTTCTTTGCCATATCTTGAAAAACACCTTAGATCATTGCCTTTAAAGTACCTAAACTTAATTTTAAATATTTATTTTACTTAATAATATTTATTTTTTCTAGATCAAATATTAAAATATTACCACTAACTCAAAAGTTTTTTTCTTAAGTCAAATTATTTCAATTTATTTTATTATTTGCTATATCAATTTTTGA